AAAGTCGAGATTTTTCAAATTTTAAATTATTAGGTTTGACACGATTTTTTTTGCCCCCTGTATATCGCAGGTCAAGTTTTGGTACGTTTTTTGAAAGAGCCATCTTCACTCTACAGTTCCTGAAAAAAAAATTATTTCTAGCCATCATACAATCATAATTATATCAACTACTAGAAGTGACGAAACATAAGAAAAAAAAAAATTAAAAGTCGATTATCTCGAAAACTATCAATATTTTAATAGGGATCATAACACTAAGTCCCGTTAAAAAAATATAGGTTTCCATTTAAAAAAAATAAGTTGGTACCTGCCCAGGAAAAACTGAACACCCTGTATATGCAAATATATTTTCATTTTGAAAAAAAAAATAAGTTATATTTTTTATTAACCTAGATATTGGACTTACGCGCACTGGGTGGACACGGTGTATATACGGTTTCCCAACGAAAATGATCACCCTGCTAACCTTTTTATTTTCAACTTTAGGGAAAAAAATTTTTTGTAATGATTGTATGGTTAAGGGTTTCAAACATTTATTTTTAGAAAAACAAACTTCATATAAAGAATGTATTACGTTGAAATTTAAAATGCGTGGGTTAAAATAAACCAATTATCATTATTATCAGAAGTTGATCAGTAAAGCATTTAAAAAAATAAAACTAATATCAGTTTGTAATAATCTAGCTACCTATGTCAATTTTTTGTTTCTCATGAAATGGATTAAAAAAAAAGTCGTTTATAATAAATACCCTATATTTTATTTTGCAACTTATATTGTGCAATATATCTCTGATTGCAGTGAAAAGGCAAAACCTGCCCTCAAATGCGACCTGTGCCCATTTACCACACAGAAGAAGTACAGATACAACCTACACATCACGACGCACATGACCTTAGAAGAATGCGCGAAAAACAACGCCCTGTTCAAATGCGACAACTGCGCGTACCGCACGAAGAGAAAATACTCTCTAATAAGACATTTCAAAGAGGTGCACAGACTAGCTTACGTTTGCGAAAAGTGCGGTTATGAAACCAACTCGGCGCTATCCTTCAAATTACATGTGCAGACGGAGCATAACAACAACATAATTTCGTACACCTGTAAGGAATGTCCATACATTGCTTTCACGAAAGTGAAACTTAACCAGCACGTCAAAACGCACGACCTTCACAACGTCTTGCTGAAGTGTAGCCAATGCGAGTTCGAAACGAAAGAGGTGGCACGTCTGAACGAGCACAAGATGTGCCATAAACACATGAAAGTGGGAAAATTGTACAAGTGCGAGTTCTGTTCTTATCAGGTGAAGAAAAAGTCCACCATCGACCGCCACGTTTTGACACATTTTACTAAAAAACAGCTGTCTGATAAATTGTACAAGTGTCACCAGTGCCATTACAAGGCCAAGAGGAAGGATAGTTTGGCGATTCATATCCGGAATCTACATGCGGTGCAGCACGGAACAAGAAAATAGCTAGCAGGAGAATAGTGGCTTCTTGAATTGTACACTTTTATTGCAGAACTGTTTTTTTTACTTTGTTGTTAAGATTGAAATGAAGACGCTGTAGTTGAAATTTCACATGGGAATGTATTCGTTTAACAATAAACATAAAACAGTTCTTAAAATTTCCTATTTACAATTTAGTTCTTTAGTTCCTAATGTAATTTCGTCAATATTAATCATCGGGTTAATTATGAACAAAACGAATTAAATGTTTTATGTTGATATTTTTTATATAAATTTAACAGTTTTTATTTAAAAAGAAACATTATGTTTTAAAGCTGAACTATACTACTGCCATTATGTAGACGGGGACACATTTAGGAAAGTTAAAACGGGTAATATTAAAAAGTTATAAAATTTTAAAGGAAATTACGGTATGTTTCTACTCTTTTTTCTTATACAGCCACTTCAGCACCCTATCGGTGCTAGACATATTAAATTATACGAAAATAAACAAAACGGCAACAAAATTAAACCGTGAACAGTTTAAATTTGAGCAGGACCCGATCCGGTTCCCAACACTTACGAGGAGCAAGTAAGAGTAGGCTCTGATGTTCAGTAAAATGTCACATATCCGCCTCTGAAAAGCCGCTACTGCGTGTTGACTTCACACTTGGTATGATATGACAGGATGATAAACGGGAAAAACAAACTGCCACGTTAATTCAGTAATTTAATTTTAGTTTTCAGTTCAGTTTAAGTTGTTTATATAGTGTAAATGTATAACCTTATAATAAAGTTATTTATTTCGATGTTTAGTGATGGTACAGTGTATTTTTGTGTTTCCATTCTCAAGCTCTTGTGTGGTATTATGAAAAAGCATGTATATGAATCAAGAAAGGATTGATATGACTACAGCTTACTTTTTGTCAGGAGAAAACGATGCTGTTGCGGTGATATTAGATGGATTATCCAGACAAACGAGTACCGGATAAGAAAATATTTATAAGGTCAGTTCAACATTTCAGAGATTATAGGAGCTTTGAACGCCAATATGCTAATAATGTTGGATGGGAACTGACTTAGGCAGTGACAAACTTAGAACCAGAAATTTTAAATGCATTAGAAGAGAATTCTGGTACCAGTGCTCGAATATTAGCCACAAGATTTCAAGTGTGTCAAATGCTGTAAAAATCAGGTGAGTAAACAGATGATGTTTACAGTACAATGATTTTGTACTAGATTACTTTGTAGGTATTTTTTCATAGATTATATTATTTAAAATAAAATTTTAGTCAAAGCGCTGTACTTCATGTCGGGTGATATGAAATGAGCCAACAGTTCATTCAGAATAAGGAAAAAATGCATATTCTTATGTCTTATGTGTATCATTACATTTCCTGAACTTTACACGCTTGTTGAATATACAGAAAATGGCATAACGGTACTATAAACATAGTCGGAGCATTATATAAAAACTATTAACAAATTAATCATAATTAAAGGGCTGAATATATGCAAAGTGCATGTATTTGCATATTTTGCATATTTTAACAAATTTCATAAAAAATTGCATATTTCGTCAAAAATAAAATTTGTGTGCATATTTTTATGTTTTTCGTTTTATCAAAAGATTAAGATAATTTAAATAATTTAAAAGGTGGGTAGGTTTTGTCGGCTCACCCGTTTTATTATTATATGGTTTATTGCCGGCATTTATTGGATGTTTAGGAATTTCCAAGTAATCAACTTGCCTAATGGAGAGCAGATGTGGTCTATTCTTTTGTATTTATATTGTATAGTTTANCACACAGAAGAAGTACAGATACAACCTACACATCACGACGCACATGACCTTAGAAGAATGCGCGAAAAACAACGCCCTGTTCAAATGCGACAACTGCGCGTACCGCACGAAGAGAAAATACTCTCTAATAAGACATTTCAAAGAGGTGCACAGACTAGCTTACGTTTGCGAAAAGTGCGGTTATGAAACCAACTCGGCGCTATCCTTCAAATTACATGTGCAGACGGAGCATAACAACAACATAATTTCGTACACCTGTAAGGAATGTCCATACATTGCTTTCACGAAAGTGAAACTTAACCAGCACGTCAAAACGCACGACCTTCACAACGTCTTGCTGAAGTGTAGCCAATGCGAGTTCGAAACGAAAGAGGTGGCACGTCTGAACGAGCACAAGATGTGCCATAAACACATGAAAGTGGGAAAATTGTACAAGTGCGAGTTCTGTTCTTATCAGGTGAAGAAAAAGTCCACCATCGACCGCCACGTTTTGACACATTTTACTAAAAAACAGCTGTCTGATAAATTGTACAAGTGTCACCAGTGCCATTACAAGGCCAAGAGGAAGGATAGTTTGGCGATTCATATCCGGAATCTACATGCGGTGCAGCACGGAACAAGAAAATAGCTAGCAGGAGAATAGTGGCTTCTTGAATTGTACACTTTTATTGCAGAACTGTTTTTTTTACTTTGTTGTTAAGATTGAAATGAAGACGCTGTAGTTGAAATTTCACATGGGAATGTATTCGTTTAACAATAAACATAAAACAGTTCTTAAAATTTCCTATTTACAATTTAGTTCTTTAGTTCCTAATGTAATTTCGTCAATATTAATCATCGGGTTAATTATGAACAAAACGAATTAAATGTTTTATGTTGATATTTTTTATATAAATTTAACAGTTTTTATTTAAAAAGAAACATTATGTTTTAAAGCTGAACTATACTACTGCCATTATGTAGACGGGGACACATTTAGGAAAGTTAAAACGGGTAATATTAAAAAGTTATAAAATTTTAAAGGAAATTACGGTATGTTTCTACTCTTTTTTCTTATACAGCCACTTCAGCACCCTATCGGTGCTAGACATATTAAATTATACGAAAATAAACAAAACGGCAACAAAATTAAACCGTGAACAGTTTAAATTTGAGCAGGACCCGATCCGGTTCCCAACACTTACGAGGAGCAAGTAAGAGTAGGCTCTGATGTTCAGTAAAATGTCACATATCCGCCTCTGAAAAGCCGCTACTGCGTGTTGACTTCACACCTGGTATGATATGACGGGATGATAAACGGGAAAAACAAACTGCCACGTTAATTCAGTAATTTAATTTTAGTTTTCAGTTCAGTTTGAGTTGTTTATGTAGTGTAAATGTATAACCTTATAATAAAGTTATTTATTTCGATGTTTAGTGATGGTACAGTGTATTTTTGTGTTTCCATTCTCAAGCTCTTGTGTGGTATTATGAAAAAGCATGTATATGAATCAAGAAAGGATTGATATGACTACAGCTTACTTTTTGTCAGGAGAAAACGATGCTGTTGCGGTGATATTAGATGGATTATCCAGACAAACGAGTACCGGATAAGAAAATATTTATAAGGTCAGTTCAACATTTCAGAGATTATAGGAGCTTTGAACGCCAATATGCTAATAATGTTGGATGGGAACTATTTCCTGAAGTTTACACGCTTGTTGAATATACAGAAAATGGCATAACGGTACTATAAACATAGTCGGAGCATTATATAAAAACTATTAACAAATTAATCATAATTATTGAGTATTTTTATAAAATTCACGATAAAATAGGAAAGGTACATTCCTGTTTATATGGGTGCAAAAAATCAAAGGAATCCTTGTATTTCAACATTTTTATAGTTTAGATTAGCTGGATTTTCTTGTTCTATCATTGTCTGACTAAGAGTGTGGTTTCTTGTCTGTAAAGCGCCAGTCTTAAGTGCATCAGCACAAAGCCATTCATAAAGAATGCCAAGTTAACTATTTAATGTATTTATCACATCTGGATGGTTGTCACTACACATTAAAATTAATGTCGTCAGCAAATATACATATTTCCAAAAGACCTTTTCAAAACATTACGTATGTCATTAATATACACAATAAACGGAAGTGGACCCAAGAAGCTTCTCTGTAGTACCCCATCTATGCTTTTAAGTTTTGCTGATAGTCTACCATTAACTTTAGTTCTGTGTATCTTCATTAAGAGGGCTCTATAGCAAATAAGCAACCAGCAATACATTTTTATAGATTTTATTACACAGTTTGTCTAAATATGAATTAATGCACGAATAACAGACGTTCCCCCGTTTTAAAGCAGATTTTCTATAATGGGGTTAATTTGAAACTCAAATTACTTTTTCTTGTAAAGAAATTCGTAATTTGCCACTTTTGAACAAGCGACATCATAAATTACAAAGAGTGACCGCAAAAAAGCCATTTTGCCTGTTCTGAGACCTTGACAGAGGCGACAAGGAAAATCCTAAAAATATTCTAAAAATATCCAAATACTCGTCATGAAAAATGGAAATGAGCATCACTTTCAGTTTTTCGAAAATTTTCTAAACTTACCCTTATTTAGGGGTTGAAAAGACAAAAAAGTGAACAAATTGAAAATCATCAACAGTTGTAAAACCCCAAATATTTCTGTTGTTATAGAAATAATATTATGAACGTGAAAATATCTAATTTCGTATTTGATACGGTCTTGTCCGGATTGAAAATCAACCCTTAATATCCCTAAAGGGGTGAAATCATCACCTAAACACCTAAAAATGCAAAAAATATATTAAAAGACAATTTTTTCTTTTTCTTTTATACGTGATAATTGAACCGTTAATAACTCAGAATCACTAGATCCGAATACCCTCATTTAGGGGTGTTTCCTTCGGATCTAGTGATTGTGGGTTATTAACGGTTCAGTTATCACGTATAAAAGAAAAAGAAAAAAAAAATAACTTAATATATTTTTTGTATTTTTAGGCGTTTAGGTGATGATTTCACCCCTTTAGGGATATTAAGGGTTGATTTTCAATCCGGACATGACCGTATCAAATACGAAATTAGATATTTTCACGTTCATAATATTATTTCGAAAACAACATAGAAATAGTTGGGATTTACAACTGTTGATGATTCTTAATTTGTTCACTTTTTTTTTTCAACCCCTGTATGAGTGATTTTCGAAAATTTTCGAAAAACAAAGTGATTCCCATTTTCATTTTTCATGACGAGTATTTGGATATTTTCAGAATATTTTTAGAATCTTTCTTGTCGCCTCTGTCAAAGTCTCAAAAACAGACGGATTTTGCGGTCACTCTTTCTTTACACCAAAAAGTATCAAACTAGCTCCATTTTATAGAAAATCTGAGTTAGAATTGGTGAAAGTCTGTTATTTGTGCACTGGATCATATTTAGACAAACTGTCATAAAATCTATAAAGATGTATTGCTGGTTGCCTATTTGCTATAGAGAGCCCTCTGAAGATAATTTTTAATCCATTCAAGAACACAAGACGTGATGCCATAAGGCATTGTGCAGAGTAGGCTACGAAATTTAGGTAGAAACAAAATCAACATTTTGACGTAATACCAAATTTTTTTAAAATCGCCCCAAGAACACCGTAGATGAATAAAGTAAGTAAAATACGGTGGTTTGGTTATTATGACTCCACTTTTAAGAACCGACTGCATATAGTGACGTATTTCCACTCTTTCAGTTTGTCCATCTCTGTAAAATTTTTTGCTTAAATTTAATATTTAGGATTATCCTGATCATAAGGGAAATATAAATATGAAGGAATAATAATAACTGTACAATTAAAAAATATGCCTTTTATTGTAACAATATATAACAAAACTTCAAAACAACACTGCTACCTATAAAAAACCTCTAACAATGTTGTATAATTCTTATTGTTCATGATAACAAAACAAGTTACTTTTTTTAAAAAACGCTACTTACAGAAACAGTAATGGATAATTTATATCCAACTTAAATGTCAAAATTATAAACACATTAGTTATTATACAGATTAGATGTTACTAAAATCATATATCACCCAGTCGATTTGACATTCAAGCAACTATTTCTCTAAACTTTGGCTAAGGCTATTGCAGTTCGGGATGGAATATACACCTGAAAATAAATAAAGCTATTGAAATACACATCTTCTTTTACAATCGCTAGAATTTTTTTTTAATATTGTCTTAGAATGTTCACAATTTTATTTCCTCAATGTTGTCTCCAAAGCTTTATTAAGAGGACTTTATGCAAATAGGCAACCAGCAATACATTTTTATTGATTTTATTACACAGCCTTTGTCTAAATATGAATTAATGCACAAATAACAGACTTTCCCCCATTCTAAGGCAGATTTTCTATAAAATAGAGTTAGTTTGATACTCAAATTACTTTTTGTTTTAAAGAAATGTGTAATTTGCCGCTTTTGAACAAGCAGTATCGTAAATTACAAATTTCTTTACACCAAAAAGTAATTAGAGTTTAAAACCAAGTCCATTTTATAGAAAATCCGTGTTAAAATGGGGGAAAGTCTGTTATTTGTGCATTAATTCATATTTAGACAAAGGCTGTGTAATAAAATCAATAAAAATGTATTGCTGGTTTCCTATTTGCTATAAAACCCCCTTTGTGCATCTTATATGTCTTTAGCTTTGCTCTCTTTTATTTGTTTATTAAAATAAAATGCCAAAATTAATTTTACAGATGCCTGTAATACGTGTAATATCCGAATCTACTATACACACTTGGGGTACAGATGACGTGACGATATGTTCGGGGGCTTCATCTCCCTTGAAAATGGGCGACGAAGTAGATGTGGGCGGCAGAATAGGATATACAGGGTGATTCAGTTATAATCTCATTAATTTTAAGGGGAGATAGGGAAAAAAATGAGTGGAATACAAATATGCAATTAACCCTTTCGCTGTGCAATACGTCTGAACGTAGCTACCGCACCGTGCGCGATTGTTTATCGCGTGCGAATATATACGTCTGGAGCAGTTAGATTACTTATAGTTTTACATAATGTTGTGTTAAATTACGATTTACGATAAATTTTACGATTTTATTTTGAATAAAATGAACAATCTTGGTACTATTACCAGTACCTCTTTCCATAAAAATATTTGTCACAATCGGTATAAGCTCGCCCGCAAAAATTCGCCTTACCAATTGCAATAACCGAGTCACTATGCGCACGGTTGCAAATATATACAGTTTGAGCAGCCTGATCCAATTTAATTATTCATGCGAATTTATCCGTCTGGAGCAGTTTGAGCCCTATAAATTTTTAGCGAATATATACGTCTGGAGCAGCGAAAGGGTTAAAAAAATTTTAAAATGCATATTTATGCCGCAAAAAATATTTTCAAATCATTATTTACATCCCTTTTCGGACTGCTCCAAACCACTGACCTACAAAGGTTTCGAGAATAAATCCTGACCTACCTTATTCGGTCACTAACCTAGTTTTTACTGTGTTTTTAATAGTGAACGACAAAAACAGACCTTTTTACCTAGACACATGAATGAATAAGATATTTTTTTACATTTTAAATATTAGCAAGCGTTACTTATTTCTTAATAAAAACAAATGTATAATTGTTTTAGAATGTTAGGTTTAGTATTCTTAATATTATGTTCAATTAATTATTCAGTTTGTAGTACGTATGCCTAGTGACTTATTACTTTTCAAGGTAGTATGATACCTAACGACAGTATGGCTAAAAACACGTATTGCGATCCGCATTGGGTTTTTACTCCATCTACACACGTCTGAAATGTTATAAAAAAGGAGTAAAATTGGCCAAAAACAAGCAAACCATCTGCCGGGGCTTTTATAATCAGATCTTTATTCCAGTGATCAACAATACCTCCACAGCAATTTTCAATTTTGATCGAGACCACTTTTTAATGTAATTAGTGTGTGGTACTTTCTATATAATTTGTATAATTTAATTTTACAGGATTTTATGCACATTGCAAGTATTTGCTGGCTGATGCACAGTAGACAGTATATTTATAAAGAATTCTAAATGCCCAAACTCGTTACTTCCGAGTTCAAGTAGAAAAAAGATAATTTTTCACTATTTATTTGACCTGGTGGCAACACTATAACTATCAAATAATGAATTTAAAAACGAAATATGTACATCGGATGATCTCTTTCAGGGGGCTCTATAGCAAATAGGCAACCAGCAATACATTTTTATAGATTTTATTACACGGTTTCTCTAGATATGTATCAATGCACAAATAACACTTTCCTCCATTCTAACGCAGATTTTCTATAAAATTGACTTAGCTTGAAACTCAAATAACTTTTTGGTGTAAAGAAATTTGTAATTTACGACGCCGCTTGATCGAAAGCGACAAATTTCTTTACAACAAAAAGTAATTTGAGCTTCAAACCAACTTCATTTTATAGAAAATCTGCTTTAGAATAGAGGAAAGTCTGTTATTTGTGCATTAATTCATATTTAAACAAACTGTATAATAAAATCTATAAAAATGTATTGCTGGTTGCATATTTGCTATAGAGCTCTCTTAAGTAGCTCGGCCAGCTAAGAAGAATAAGGCGACAAATTTCTCATTTATGTACGTAATTTTCGGTGGCAGCAGCGGGATACCAAAAAATTTGAAAAAGGTGGGATTGTCAAGAAGTTGAGGAATAGATGAGAAGAAGACAAGGCGGTTTCTCCACCAATCGCAGTCATTTATATAATTTTAGGGGGTGGGGTCTCAGTTAGAAAAAGGTGCAATCGCTGAAAAAATTGAAGGATTGTTAAAGTTGAGAAACAGGCGGGAAGAAAATGACAAGGTTTCTCCACCAATGCCGGTCATTTACATAATTCTGTTGGCAGCAGTGGGACACCAAAAAGTTTCATTCATTCATTTTATAGCACTAATAATTATTCAATCAAGCCAATAAACATTTCTGTTTTGTCCATAGAATGGTTTGATTTCATTATCGAAAACACTTGCAATGCATTTAGTTCAAGTGCCAATAAGTTAACGGAAGTCATTCTAATTTTCACCGATCCCGTACATATTTCTTACCTGTACATAGTTCCTCCGACCTGAATACCCTTCGGGAACTGTGAAGAACCTGACGGAAGTATCTATCCTTCCGAAACCGCCGAACTCCTTATCATCCGAGCACAAAACGATGCGATACTCCCCCGGCTCCTCGATCCCAACTCTATAATCGGCGAAACTCTTCACCGGATGAAAATTGAACACGAACAACACCCCCGCCCTCTCCAATGCTATTATCTTGTCGTCTTCATGCTTCATGCTGACGTACCCGGGGTGGGCGCCCAGCCACCCATACTTGCTCTCCGTGTGGTTCATCGCGGCATCCCACGCGTTCAGGTACTTGTATTTAAGGATTTCGTCGTCGACTAAGTTCCATTGCCGCCTGGCATAGTGGTAGGAGCTGTTGTTGCCGGCCCTGGGGAAATCTAACCATTCGGGGTGGCCGAACTCGTTGCCCATGAAGTTCAGGTAAGCCTCGCCGCCCAGGGTGTGCGTTAGGAAGCGTATTATCTTGTGCAGGGCGATGCCCCGGTCGATGATGGGCGAGGGGTCCGAGAGGGTGCTCATGTGCGTGTACATTTCTTTGTCCATCAACCTGAAATCGTGTTTACAGAATTAGGAGAATAAATCGCAGATCCCCTAGAAACTTTGCTATAAAAAGTTTAATTAAAATATCTTTAAGGGGGCTCTATAGCAAATAGGCAACCATCAATACATGTTGATAGATTTTTATGACACAATTTGTCTAAATATGAATTTATGCACAAATAACAGACTTTCCCCCATTCCAAGACAGATTTGCTAAAAAATGGAGTTAATTCGAACCTTAAATTTCTTTACAATAAAAAGTAATTTGAGTATCAAACTAACTCCATTTTATAGAAAATCTGCGTTAGAATGGGGGAAAGTCTGTTATTTGTGCATTAATTCATATTTAGACAAATTGTGTAATAAAATCTATAAAAGTGTATTACTGCTTGCCTATTCACTATAGAGCCCTCTCAAGTGCTCAAGATAGGCTGTAACAAATTTTTTTTTTAACATAATTTATAAGTTAATTAGATAAACTTTTCCTTTTACTTTTTGTTTTACATTAAACTTTTGAATTCTCGAGAAAAGCTTTCATCTAGCTGTTAAAAAAAGATCAATGAGTAACCTACCTGCTGCTAATAATATTTTCAATATTTTCAGTTATTGAAAATATTCTTATTAAGGCAAAAGGAGAAACAAAATTACAACATTAAATAACTAAATTATCTCCATTTCTGGAGTACTATTAACAATTAAAACAGTTTAAACAGGGTGTAGTCCAGGCGGTTTCTGTTTTAAAAAAGGATATATTTGAGTAAAACACAGAGATTTTTGCTTTAACGGCTTCCAAATAACATCAGAAATGATAATTTTTCTATGCCAATAAAAAAAAACATGGGCTTAATTGTTATTGCAAAAAAGTATAAAAAATTACACAAAAATTCATTTTTTTCTTGGATTTCTCATCGACAACTTAGCAACTATTCGTTTTAGACAAAAATGGAAGAGGAAAAAAGTTTTGTAATTAAATTTTGAACAAGATAGTTGCAATTCAAAAAAATAATTGTCATTGCAAAAATCGGAAAAATCATTTAAAAAATTCCAAAAAAGCTAGATATTTGTCAATTTTTTTCTACACTTGAATAATACCTAGGATCTTCATACTTTTACCAATTAAACTTCTTAGTGTATAAAATCATCACACCAAATTTCATTCAATTTGGTTCTATAGTTTTTACATAATAATTGTTTAATTTATTTTTTTAATTATAAAATTTTCAAAATCAAATTTCAACACAAAAAGAAGAGCTCTCAAGCTTTAAAATGCTTTATGAAAAATTCAAATCGGACGATTAGGTGAGCCGTGGTGATTGTTTAAACATTTTCGCAATTTTCATGCTTATAAACAATTGCAATAATTTAATATTTTTTCAATTTTTTTTTTATTTTAAAATATGGCTTGAAAGTACTCGGAAAGACACTTAAGCCCACGTTTTTTTTTTCATTTGCATAGAAAAATTATCATTTGTTATTTAGAAGCCGTTAAAGCAAAAATCTCCGATTATATGCGTTTTACCCAACCCGAAACAGATACCGCCTGGACTAGTTTAACTTTGAGTGGGGGTCAAATTTATGCAGAGGCTTGACCTTTAGAAACACGTATCAATAGTTTATTTTTTCAAATTCCGTCATGAAAACTTAATTATTTTTGTAACCTTTTTTTTGAAATTTTCATACTCTGCTAATGAACAAGCTAATGTAACATCAAATAACAGCGCCTTTCAGTCGCAACAAATGCACAATTGGCAACTGGTCTCTGCATTGTTCTTAAACATCATATTTAAAGGAAAGGTTATTAAAATGCAAATTTATATTTTCTACGTGGCAGGAATACTCAATTAAAAAAAAGTAACTGAAAATGCCAAATAAATAATTTTTATGATATTTTTACTGATTTTTACCTTATTGGGCATTTTTTCAGGACAAAACTGGGACACTCGGTTTATTTTCACTGAAGGGTATATATTAGGGTGACCCAAAAAAAAACGAATATTTTTTTTCGTGTCGCTTGTGAAAATATGTTAGTTTATCATGTTTTAAGAGCCTGCTCAAAAAATCAGCTCAAAAAATATTTGTTTAGATGTCGCTCAACTCAAGATTATTAAAAATTTCCGAAATCGTGAAAAATTCAATTTTTTTTTTAATTTTTAATCATTTTCTAGGTTGAAAAAAAAACTCGATTCTGAAAATTTCAAATCGATATTTTAATTTCTAAAGGTCACTCATAATTATTTTTATTTAATTTATTTAACATTTTTATTTAGGGATTATTTCGGAATTTTCGGGATTTTGAGGATCAATCCTCAGATCCCGGGACTGAACTCCGTATATAGGTAGGCAGTATAAATTTAAAGGTTACATACCAAAAAGCGATGGTTTTATCGCCTACTAAAGCCTGGTCGTGCGATTCAGCATAAGCGACGTTAGGTTCCATCCAACGTCTGTTGGTCAGGGTGTGAACTATGTCACCCATGTTCCAGTGGTCATCGGCGACGTGCTTGAGCAGTTTTATCCAAGTATCAGGAATGGCCATGGCTAACCTAAATAAAAATGTAAATTTTTACATGTGATATAACAAGTTGTTACTGTAATCGAATCATAAATAATTCAGCTATAATAATTTTAACAAACTGGGATATTTTTGAACATTTATTATAGCAGAGTATGAAGGTATTAAGAGGGCTCTATAGCAAATAGGCAACCAGCAATACATTTTTATAGATTTTATTACACAGTTTGTCTAAATATGAATCAATGCACAAATAACAGTCTGCTCCATTCTAACTCAGATTTTCTATAAAATGGACTTAGTTTGAAACTCAAATTACTTTTTGTTGTAAAGAAATTTGTCGCTTTCAAACAAGCGACGTCGTAAATTACAAATTTCTTTACACCAAAAAGTAAATCGAGTTTCAAACTACGTATTTTTATACAAAAACTGCGTTAAAAATGGGGAATTTGTGCATTAATTCATTTTTAGACAAACTGTGTAATAAAATCTATAAAAATGTATTGTTGGTATCAAGTAAAGATAACGTTCTTTGATACCTAACCTCGCAAGACAATATTGTTAACAGTTGATATTGCAGGGAACGATTATTCTATGGGCTACATGCCCCAACTAGCATTAAATTATACCAGCTGTACCCAGTAAACAACTAAACAATTATCCAAAATAAAAATAAAAAATGATGTCTAAATATTATTTATATAAAAACACATACGACATAGTGCAATTGGTAAACACTGCAATTTTTCAAAGAAATGTCTGTGCCCTCTTAAAGTCATCCACATACAATGAGAAATGACAATGCTTGAAACAGTTAGATGTATTGTTTGCATATACAGGGTGTTTGTAAATAAGTGCCAAATATTTTAGGTTCATACACGTATGTCGAAATATGCTTCATTTCCGTGATAGAGCGTTTAAATTTTAATTTTTTATTTATTTTTATTAATTATTTTAAAGTTTTAAAAGTTATTGTTTTAACTAGATCGACAATGGATAACGAGGACAACAATAATACGTTTACTACTATCAAACGAAAGCGGTAAGTTTGCATCTTTTTTGTTTGTCGTGATCCAACCTATCACTTGCTAAAATAATAGTAGTCTTTTCTCTAACACCATGTCCTTTGTTTCTACAAACCTCTTGTCTGGGTTTGCACGTTATCATTTACAGTGAAATAACTAATTGAATTTTATGTTTATTTTTCCTTTTAATTAAAACGAGAGGATTGTATTAAACTGGTCAAAATTATTTATTGTTGCATTAAAACATTTTATCTCTTTTGTGTGTATTTCATACATTTTAATTTGGCAACACTGATTTGCACAAAGGCATCGAATGGCATGACATTTTTTGACCAGGACCATACTAAGATTTATTTCTTCGCTACAAAATTGAAGTTCAATTTTCTTGACAAAACGTGGATATATGAATTTCTAATATAAGGCTTTTTTACTGCATATATTCCTAGGAATCTGCATTTTATTTTTTCTACACTAGATGCCACACCCTGTATTTAAAAAAAAGAAAAAATGCGACCCCCCGAGATTCGAACCCCGGATCTTCAGTTTCGCAGTCGTGAGATTACAAAATGAGCTATGGCGATCTAAACTACCTACCCTGGATCTCCGAGAATGTAAACAGAAAATTAAAAATGTTCAAATCAAGTTTTATCGTCTCTAAAAGATCGGAAGCGGTGCCTAACGGCAAAATAACGACTCACCGTGGCCGGATTGGCCGGGAAAACGTATCAAATGGCAAAATTTATGTTGACGTCTCAACTGACCTCTATTTAAATATCGGATATACCTACTTCGGGTATCTCTATCCCACCGAAAAAAGTAAATTTTCGGCGAGGACTCTTTTTAAAGTGGAAATTTCACATCAATCAACAATTTCATACAAAACTTTTTTCTAAAATTAAAATTAAAAAAGTTACTGGGACTCATTTTCGGCTAGCAACTATCGAAATTTTTACAATTCTCTATTAAAAAAGCTTTACCTGTAATCAAAGCCTAGGCATCCCTCCGTAACGGGCCGGCAAGTCCCCGGCATCCCCGAAACGTCCTCCGCTATGGTAATCGCATCCTTGTACAACTCGTGGATCACATAGTTGGCGAGCATCAAGTAAACCACCCCCTCGGTATCCACGCCAAGGCTGAAATAATCGTCGTAGTGGCCCCCGAAGCCCTGCGCGATACCCCTCGAGTGGTACAGCATAGAAGTGACCCCGTCGAACCGGAAACCGTCAAACTGGTACTCCTCCATGTACCAGCGTATGTTAGACAGCAGAAACCGCAGAACCTCAAACTCGGAGTAGTTGAAAAGCCTCGAATCCCAAAGCGAATGCTCGCCCCTCGGACCAGTATGAAAATAACAGGAATCCGTCCCGTCGAAACGATTTAAGCCGTCCATTACGTTCTTGCTGGCGTGAGAGTGGACGAGATCTAGCAAGACGATAAGTCCGAGCTCGTGAGCTCTGTCGACCAGACGTTTCAGTTGTTCGGGAGTGCCGTAACGACTCGATGCCGCGTAGAAGCTGGTAACTTGGTATCCGAAGCTGGCGTAGTAGGCGTGCTCCATGACGGCCATGAGCTGAATGCAGTTGTAGCCCTGCTTGACGATTCGAGGTAGGATGTTGTCGGTGAAGTTGTCGTAGCTGCCGACTTTGAGTTCGGAGGTGGCGATGCCGACGTGGGACTCGTATATGCGCAGGCTCTTCGGCCGGGGCACTTTGGGGTGTTTGAAAACGTATTTCTTAAAAAATATGAGTGAATTAATAAGTTTGCTTCGGTGTATATTAATTGAATAAAATAACACAAAAATATTGGGAACAGAAAGTACAGTAAAAAGACAACTATAAGAGTCTGCATTTATTTTGTTAAATAGTGATAGGTGCATTTCAAATAATTCTTCGAATTTTGATTTTTGTTGCTCGAATAATCTCAATGACGAGGTAAGTAATAATAGAATACAATTATAAGTACATGGGGCAACAGCAGATTCTACACTAAACCAAACCAACCTTACATAAGTAAAGAATTGATACTGTACCTTAAAAATTATTAAAATGTAGGAGTCATTTTTGCTAATTCAAATTAGGCACCTTACTATTGAACGTTCCTTTTAGTGTTTATGTGTTTGTGTGATGAGGAGTATGTTATGCAGAAATAAAGTTTGGAAAATCACACATTTATTAATATCCTTAGTGTTATAGTTTTTCCGAAGTCAGTTGAAGAATCAATAATTTCAAGGTATTGGTCGCTAAGCAGCAACTCGGCATTGAAATATTTGAAAAACTTGTTCCCTGGCAGTGCAGTGCGGTAATGCGGAATTTGGTGTGATTCAGATAATTTTAATTTATTATAGGCACATTGCAAAAGGGAAAAATATTACACCCTGGCATTTTGAAGACCTTTTGAAATGGAACAAAATGAAATTTACAATCAATATAAAAAATTGTTTGAGGACATAAATAATTAAAACATGTTGGCCAAATGAACATATAATAGAAATTTTCTACACATTGTATACAAATTATTATAATTTTCTACATTTAGCAGAAAACTTTTTTAGGGACACCCATCAAACTCATTAATTTTGATTGCTTGGTTTTTTTATGCATGTTCAACTGACTTCGGAAAAACTATACAAGTAGGTTAACTGGGGAGAGAAAACATCCCTACAGAAAAATTGATACTTTTTTGCAGTTTTCACAAAAACTATACTAAGATTACGAATTTTTGTAAACAAGATTGTCTTGTTTCAAGTCGATAACTGAAATTTGAAACTTTTTGTGAAAAAAAAAAAAAGGAAAAAATGTCTTAAAGGAGGAGGGTCTCTAAGGCTGGTTTTTGATCTAATTTATTTTTGGCTAAAAAAATCTGAAACATTTTTTTTTAGTACCTACTAGTAATATTGAATCGTTTCCACCCTAAACGGACTAACCCCCTCACCCTCCTTTCCACCTCCACCCCCTTAAATGAAGAGTATTTTGGATCGCTGATCACGAATCTGGTCTCAGAATCACGAAATTCAAAATGGCGGATCCAATATGGCGGACAAGAAAATTGAAATGTCTTCAAAATACATGAATTTTTTTGTAATGGGGTTTTTTGGGTCTATGATTACGAATCTGGACTCTAAATCACGAAATTCAAAATGGCGGATTCAATATGACGGACAAAAAATTAAATGTCTAAAATGCATGAAATTTTATGTAGTGGGGTTTTTTGGGTCTCTGATTACGAATCTGAAGGCAGAATTATGAAATCCAAAATGACGTATTCCATATGGCAGACAAAAAAATTAAAAAGATCATCATAATCCTCAAATATTTGTTAATAGAAACTTTCTTGGATCACTGATTACAATTATGAATTCAGAATCACAAAATTCAATGTGGCTAATCAAATATGCACAAACATGTATGTATAATTATTGATTTTTTATTTTTCGTGTTATTCAATGTAAATGTGCGTCATCTCATTTAAGGGGGTGGAAGGGGAAAGAAGGGTGAGGGGGTTTAGGGTGGAAACGATTCAGTATTGCTAGTAGTAGGTACTAGATTTCAGATTTTTTCAGACAAAAATAAATTAGGCCAAAAACCTTTAAACATTATCTAATGTAAAATTGTGTGTCACAAAAAAATCTTTTTCATTTTGACTATTACATAATATTTAGAAGTAACAAACATGTTCCTTTAATTCTTTTCAAAATTAAATCAACATGTCAATTTACAGGTAAAAATTTCTCTCAACATTAGTCTTTTCATCATTCATTTGTACATTAAAGGTAGATTTTCCAAAAAAAAAGTTGAGGAAAAATAGTTTTTGAGAACCATTGTAGAGAATGTGCAATAATTTGTTGAGATATCGATGATTAAAGACAGAAAGTATCATTTTTCATTCAACCATTGATATCTCAGCAACAAATAGTTATACGGAGATTTTTCTAGATTAGTATTTCTTTTGATTGCTCCATAACCGTAGCTCAAAAGTTTTGTTGTCAAAAGATCTTGAAACTAGAAACTTGACAGCTTTTTTTAATCTCGATACGTAAATTTTCCACCTGTCAAAAATCACTAAATTTATTATTTTTTCTGTTCCCTTAATTTTTTTCAGTATTGTGTGTAAAATTCAATGGTCTCCTTCAGTTGTTTTCAAAAGAAATTAGTGTCTGGGCTCCCTGGTGCATATGACAGGTTGGAAGTGTTTACTGTATTACCAAGATATCATATAATCATATCAACTTACTGCATGTAAATTTATTTATTTTATTTTTATTAATTATGGTAAATTTTTGTCGCAATGTTTTAGACATATTAAAAATGTTGATATCAATTGTATTTATATTCTAAAATTTTACTGTACTGTAAAATGTTATTAATAATCATCGAGAACTTACTTCCTCAGTTGGAGGATTCCACAGTTTCTGTTTGTATATCGTACCCTCATGTTTTGGAGGTTCAACGACATAGGTAGCGTAAGGAGACAATCTATCTTCTTTCCCTCCTTCCTGTGTTTGCACTACAATCTACATATAAAAAAGTAAAGGTAAGTAAACTACAACAAAANTTTTAGCCAAAAATAAATTTGGTTAAAAACCGGCCTTAGGGGCCCATCTCCTTTAAACATTATCTAATGTAAAATTGTGGGAGTCATGAAAAAATCTTTTTCATTTTGACTATTACATAATATTTAGAAGTAACAAACATGTTCCTTTAATTCTTTCCAAAATCAAATCAACAAGTCAATTTACAGGTAAAAATTTCTCTCAATTTTTCAGTTTCTTTTCATCATTCATTTGTAAATTAACATTAGATTTTCCAAAAAAAAAAAACAAAAACGTAGTCATTTTTGCGCTTTTTTCAAATGGTTGAAGAAAAATTGTTTTCGAGAACCATTGTAGAGAATTTAATAATCCAGTGTTCAAAATCGCCTTTGGATTAAATGTGCAATAATTTGTTGAGATATCGATGATGAAAGACAAAGTGTCATTTTTCATTCAACCATCGATATCTCAGCAACAAATACATACCGAGATCTTTCAAAAAGCAAATTGAAGCCGAGTAAACAAGCTAATTGACCTGCATTCATTCAGCTCAAAAAATTTTCCCGAATCTAAAAAAAATAATTGGAGGTTATTTCTTTTGATTGCTCCATAACCATAACTTAAAAAAAAAATTGTCAAAAGAACTGGAAACTAGAAACTTGACGGTTCAAACAGCTTTTTAATCTCGATATAACCATTTTTCACCGAGATATAGCCTATCAAAAATCACTAAATTTATGATTTTTTGTTCCCTTAATTTTTTCCAGTAGTATGTATAAAATTCAATGGTCTTCTTCAGTTGTTTTCAAAATAAATTAGTGCCTGGGCTCCCTGCTGCATATGACAGGTTGGAAGTGTTTACTGGACTGCCAAGATATCATATAATTATTTCAGATTACCTAAAATATACTTACAGCATGTATATTTATTTATTTAATTTTTTTTATAAAGTTAATTATGGTAAATTTTTGTCGCAATGTTTTAGACATATTAAAAATGTTGATATCAATTGTATTTATATTCTAAAATTTTACTGTACTGTAAAATGTTATTAATAATCATCGAGAACTTACTTCCTCAGTTGGAGGATTCCACAGTTTCTGTTTGTATATCGTACCCTCATGTTTTGGAGGTTCAACGACATAGGTAGCGTAAGGAGACAATCTATCTTCTTTCCCTCCTTCCTGTGTTTGCACTACAATCTACATATAAAAAAGTAAAGGTAAGTAAACTACAACAAAACGTTATATTGATTAAAGCATTACCCCGTCCATTTTAAATAAATTTGTACAATCAAAAACAATAATTTGGTTAATTAAACTTTTCATCAGTAAAATATAAAGATTTTAAAGTTATAAGGACATTAAATGATTACAAGCCACCTGACCAGTAACTTTGTTTGGAACAGTATTTTATTTCCTTCACATTGGCAATTAAATTTCGGTAAATTTAAAAATTATTAAAACAATAAGTTCAAGATTACATTAAAACACAACATTCTGTTTCACCGACTGGTGATTGGTGTAATTTTTCACGAGATTTTATTCAACCAATCAAATCATTAATATTGATGATGCTAAGATTTAGGGATTTTTAGTTAACCATACCAGCCATGTTGGTTGATTAAGCTCAAAGGTTAAGTGGCTTGTAATCATTTATTAAGGCTCTGTAGCTAAAATATACAATATGTACCCTTGCTACATACTGTTTCGGATGATTAAATTAAAAGTTTGCTACAATTTTCTTATTTTAATTGAAGAATAACTAAAAAAAGAAGGACTTCTCATATGAACAGTCCTAAATTTGATTTAAAAAATAGTTATTAATCATTTTCAGTCTGACAAAATTCAAATATTGTAGCAATTGAAGTCAAAAAACAATTTAACTTGGATATGATAATAATTCTTGTAAACTCCCACTGTACTTTATATTATATCTACCTTTATTTCTGATAAGTGCTTGATGGCAGGAGTCCCATCTGAGTTCGGAGGAAGAATTAGCTCCCACTTACCAAATTCCAATTTATTATAGGGATGACTATCACGATTCCAGCCATCTGAAATCACAAAAAATTGAAATGTTACGCAATCTAATAATGCTTTGTATCTATATCAGTTTTGTAAAAATAAAAATTTACGCTTTTAACTTTAAAACAATTAAAAGAACATGTTTTCATAACTTTGCTGATAATGGGAGGTTATATCAAAATTGATTAAAAATTCTAATAAAAGTTTATCGGTATTTTAATGTCAATGCGTTTATATTTTTTAATATTCGGCAGAATTTGTGAAAATTACAATAATACGAGGTTGGAACAAAAAGTAACGAGAATTTTCAAATTACACGTTTTTTATCTGTCTATAGATTTGATTATTTTTTGTGTACATCAGTAGGTAACGTACCTGAAAATTTTTAGGCAGCTGTTATGCTTAGTTTGTGTTTAGCAAGCGTTTTTTTTTGTGGTGAAATATTGGAATTAAGTGCAGCAAAGCGTTAAAAATGTTCAAGAAGACCTTTAGCGACGATCACAGCCACAAGTTTATCAAAGGTACAAATGTTTTCAGGAAGGCCAAGAGGACATCGAAGATAAGGCGAGTTCTGGTGAAATTTGAAGGACCTTCTAACCCTTTTCTCCAACTACAATAGGAGAAATCGACAAGAATACGAGACACAACTCATGGATTTTGTATTACGACAATGCAAGGACGCAGACCACTTTGCTTATCCAAATTAATTCCTATTACTTTTTTTATCAAACCCCATATATAAGTTTGTTAGCTTTTTAATATCTAAAAGATAGAAAATGAACCATCTCGAAATGTTGACTATTATTTTTTATTGTTGTTAATGTTATTAAATCAATACAGTACTCATCTTATACACATTTTATACATACTGTTAGAAATCGAGCGAAGACCGATAATGTGAACACTTAACCCGAGAGGCAAGGGCCAAGTAAAATAAACAAATTCCTCTGCTAGGGCAGATGAGGTACAAGGAACCATACATTCACTATTCGTCACTCGGCATACAGCATTCGATGGCAGACGCCTTTATTAACTAGCCGTTTTAAATGCTTTATAAACCTTTTATATTACAATTTAAAAAATTGTATTTAAAGTTATATTGAATATTCGCTGATAATTAGTGTGTTTCTAACAATACATATACATTTTAAATTTAAAAATTGCAATAATATATTTTAAGTACCATCTTAAATAATTAAAGTATGATTTTATAAGGAAAACGAAGTACAAATTAAACTAATGAAGATTTTAAGTCACTAAGTTTTGCCTACCATGCCAAAAATAATTCATTACATATGTAAAACTTACTAAATTCTCCAGCTAGAAAAAGTTGTTTCGCTCCAGGAGCCCATTCTCTACAAACGATGGAGTTATCTGTCTGTACATTGATGCCGTAATAATTGTATGCCTTAGTAAAATTATCCAGGCCACCTCCATTTTCTTCGATTGAGTCTTGCAAATCCCTTAGACAGGCATATCTGAAGAAATTAACAATGTAATAACGGTGTAAGTGACCTATTATTTTGATACAATAAAAAATTTTAATAGGTTATTTATAGGTTAGAATTTTTAGAACTTACAAGCTGATGTATTCTTGCATAATGCATATTATTAAATTGTTTTACGTTTCCAAACATGAAAAAGTACCAAGCAATATTTATTAACATATTGTATTGTCACAAAAACACTTTTTGCATCAAATTCTGAACAGGTATAAAACTGTAATAAAGCTATCATTTAAGGATTAAGAAATCTAAAGATAAACTAGTATAATCTCCAAATAGGAAAATTTTATTTAAAATTAGGGATAGGTATATATTAAAATTAATAAAACTTACATAATCCGTATTATGTAATAAAAACTACCTGATTCCTTAAAAGTTTCGCAAATCTCACTTATTTTGTTTATATTTCAATTGTTTATAGCAATGTCCTTCCTTGACCTTCTCAATGTCAACAGAATTTTTCCACTCACCGCCTCCTTATTTCTTTTTCGTATGGATTTAGATAGGGGTCCCGATCCAACAAAGCCTTTATATGCGGAACATCGACTTCCATAGGATCTAATTTCGAATATTTACCACCCATTGCAACAATCTACGTTCAAGTTCTCTTCTGGATAATATAAACTGTTTCTCATTCCTAGCGCTGATCTTCAACACTAAATTAGACCGTTGTACTCGCACGATAACAGATGTTAATAGGTCAACACAAGGAAACTTAACAACTAACAACTATTATAAAATATTAAATTAATACACGGTAAGATACCCAAACCACTGTGATATTTGGTACTATTCGGATTGATATATTATCGTGCTATTCTCGGACCAACCTTGAACTTGAATGAAGACAAGACAATAGAGATAGAGAAGTGTTGCTATTTCACTCATAGATTTCACTGTTCGCTACTCTGGCGCTGACTGTTCCGGAGCTCTATTCTTGACGGTGAGAGAATAGAATGATGTAGTATTGTAGTATTATATATATGAGAATGATCCCTCGGGACCGTTCCCTCATTTCGCTCTACTACTGTTCTATCACAAAATTCACACTGTATT